GTTGTATATATATAGTGTACATATTGTATACTGTTGTATATATGTATATGTACTGTTATCTGTGTCGCAGTTTCACGTCTCCAAAATGAGCGTACGCATGGTTCAAAGCTGGCATGAGGCACCGCACATTTTCACGTCAAGTTTGGATTTTATAAATCACAACCTTGGCGTAAAAAGTGGCGTACGCAAGTTTCTGGGCTCAAATTGTGCGTACGCCAGTTTTATAAATCCGACCCCTGGACTATTTGCAGGCCATGACATCGACCTTCTGTGTCCTTTTTCAAGGAATGTTTTCACAGTTTTTGCTCTATGGCATGATGCATTATCATCTTGAAAAATGATTTCATCATCCGCAAACATCCTTTCAATTGATAGGATAAGAAAAGTGTATTTTTCTTGATTTCTTTTAGTGTTTCTTAAAGCCAGAAAGTTGCCATTTGAAATGACTTTAGTTTTGTGTCATGTCTGTRATCTGCTTTTTTTCTACAAAATTAAACAACTGAACAACAACTGAATGAACATCCTCTGAGTCCAGTGGTTTCTGAGCACTACAAGGTTCTGTAAACTCACTCTGAAAACAATACAGCAATGTGTTGATAGTAAAAAATGTAATTTGTACTTTTGAATACTTGAGTAATTTTAAATGCACATACTTTTGTATAATTAAGTATTTTCAAAAGTAAGTACTTCAGTAATTTGAGTAGATTTTTGACGGAGTAACTTTTACTTGTAGTTGAGTAGATTTGACCCTGAGTATCAATATTTTTACTCAAGTACTACAGTTAAGTACTTTGTCCACCACTGCACATTAGACATCCTTTATGCCACATTAATTTCTGATCTATAATCAAATCAAGGACATCATTAAGTCTGTTCATTATTTTTTTGCTAAAATCTTATCATTCATTCAAGTTTGTTGTTGATAATTATTGAGATTACATTCATCATCTTTCTTATATAATAAGCATGATTCTACAAAAAATATTCAAAAAGATTTATATTACATGGGTTGCTGTTCTCTCTAGACTAGACTTCTATAATTACTGTAAAGCAGAGTACTGATGGTAAGTGTGTGCCAGCTAAGTGAAAATACATCAACAATATTTGTAACATTTTTCTAAATAACCAAAGGCCGAAAATAATAATAATAAAAAAAAACATCCAAATTACTCTCATGCTGTGTATTACACCAGGGCTATTCAGCTGGCGGCCCATGGGCCACATCCAGCCTGCGAGTGACCAAAGTTCGGCCCGCCAATTGGTTCATTCATCTCTCCAGCCCAAACACCTGGTTTTCTACTTTAATTACTATAAGTTATTTTAGTTAAACAGAGACATGTTTGTTATATACAGAAATGTCAGAATCTTGACTAAAAGCCATTTCTATAAACACTCAAGACAGTTAAAACTACAAGCAGTTGAAGATAAAACTAGAAAAGTGAAAATAAAATTGGTTTAAAAATTTGTCAAGTCAGAGATGTCAAAAAATATTTGTGTTAAATTAGAGGCATAACGTGTTATTTTTGTTTTTGATATTGTTTAATTATCACTACTTTTATTACATAGGGTTCTGTATGTTGTATTCATGATTAAATGCAGGAAAATAAACTATTTCAAAGGTAACAGGTCTTTGTAATACTTGGTTTATTTACTTTAATTGCTGGATGTTCGGCCCCTGAGCTGTTGACCTGCAGTAACTGTGGTCCCCGGAGCAGTTTAGTTGAATAGCTCTGTACTACACTTTGTATGGATTAAAAAAATACTGTAGTTGTTTTTTTAAGCAAGACTAAATAGTGTTTTCTCCTATCACTCTTAATGTTGAGCATTTTGCATATCTTTTAGCTTTTTTAACTTATATTAACAATATTTCTGAGTAGTAAAAAGATTAAGAATAATGTGACAAAAATCCTTCTGTGAACTGAAAAATTAAATGGATAGAAATGTGTTGGTGCAATTTGACTTTGAAATTATGAAAAAAATCACACAAAATCTTTGTAATGACTTTCACACTTTTATACTTTAGGGCCACATTAGTTCTTGGCTTTTGTAGTCATACAAAAACCAACCAAGTTTAATATTACTTTAAATCTGTTTTTTTAAAATAGAAATAACTGTTTTCCAAGCAGTTAGCTTTTTATTTTTATTAGACTATTCATATGGTAAATTTTTTCACATTATGGCTGCTGTTTTTGTTCAGTACAGGTGAGAAGCTGTTTATGTTTTTGCTTCATAGCACCGATGAGTGAAGTGAGGGAAAGTATCAGTGGATGTGAATTTAGCCGAAAAAACACTGGTGCCTCCTAGTGTGAGCTAAAGGATCATGTAAGCTGCTCCACATTGTTTGGACCGTGGGCACACATCAAACTCTGGTTGAACAGCATTTTTTTCCACAAGGCTGCTGCTATTTACAGATTTATTCTAAAACCCAGTAAATTACACTGTCTACTAAGACAAAGTTGGTTCAGCTTTAGTTTGGTCTTTAATATTTTTTACACTGGCACAGAGTTCCTGTGTTGTAGTTGTAAAGAATTTATCTTGTTCTTTAACTTTAAAGTGGTCCAAACAGGTAGAACACACTAAACAGGTATGTAGAGAGGCTCACACTGACGATGCCACACAAGAAAAAATAAACTGTTCTTTTTTTACAATCAAAGGACCTTACCACATTTGTGTCTGTCTCTACAGTGTGCTCCACAACACYGGTGTGGTCAGCCACAGAGCCTCGGTCCCAGCTGCAGTCCAGACGAATCAGGGCACGACATCGATAGTGACACGTAAATCTGCAGTCTGCAAATTAAAAGAAAGTACCAAGTTTTACACAGAYATAAAGGGGGGCATAAAGCCACTAAGGTTTGTTTTAGAGAAAATTACTTGGGCTWGGTTAAAGTAGACCGGCAGATTGTTGCCTTCCAACGTATTAGTAGGTACACAGCCTGAAGCCATTCTATGGGACTGATAACCGCTAATAACCTCCATTTAATGGACTGATAACATCCAAACTGGCTGCTTTTGTCAGTATTGCATTTAGGGATGTGCAATAAAGCAGTAATGATGAATATTTCGCAATAGACACTTCATCAATACCAACAGAAAACACGTCCGATAGAGYGTTGATCATTTTCAAGAATCGCACAGCTTTCTGGGAGATGTCGACAGAGGAACGGCTTTAATCGCTCTACCTCTCACGGCCCAGCTAAAGAGTTYACATGATTGTTCCATGTTCATTTTCACACACACCTTTCATAGCTCCTGAGTATACATCAGTGCACAGGGTTTTATTTCCTGCTGGAGTCTACGCTCCAGGGTAAAAAAAAAAAAGTTATTTGTCAACAAATCTGTCCCGGTTAAAGCTCCACACTTTTCTGCGGATGGATTCCTCCATGCAAAACGTCTCTTTTATCTCTTCCTATGATTTTTTGGCCATTTGATTATAAACGTCTGCTTGAGGGCACAACAGTGGGATACTGGAAGAAGTATTTATTTGTGATAAGAAGAGGCAGAGGACTCAAAACTGTCAACTGAAGGACACAATTTTCTTCATGAAACTGCGACGATGAAAGTCAATTTCAGCAGTTCGGAGGGAGTTTRTGGAGGTCTTAAGCAAGGTTGGTGGCATCAACTAATGTACTCAGTCTTTGCTTAGCAACAACCTGTTGAGCAACAAGTACAGCAGCAGTTTCATGTAACGTCACTGTGTCTCATAACTGCAACAGCTCGAGAGGAAATTGTGGATAAAAGAGGAATGTCTCATCACCAGTTCTTCAGACTTAATCAGCCTTTTTTCCTCTGGATTCTTATTTCAAATAGGCAAAGCAAAAAAAATAAAATAATAATTATTGATATTGACTGCTATAAAATGCTTATATTTTGATACATTTTTCATCCCTAGTTGCTTTAGAATGTGACTGTTGTGCCATATTTGTTCCGCACTATATGCTTATAAATCACAGCTCTTTGTTTCAGATGGTTTCAAACAACAAAAAGGAAGCTTTAAAATGCTTAGTGAGTGACAAAATAAATGGGTTTGCAGCCCACCCCTAGCCTAGATAATTACTAGGCCACCAAAACCACTGAAACAGTTTCAGCATGTTAGATTTTGGCTTCTTTCAGTATCAGATTACATCGAAGCTTAAGAGGCTGGGATAATCTGCACAATCCTGCTGGATGCATATTTCTTTGTTTAAAATACATTTCTTGTTCCTCTCTGTAATGCTGTAATTGCTGATCACGCAGAGGCACAACCACGGTCACACACGCAGACACTGACTCACACACACGTCAAACGTAGACCGACTCACTGACACACCGCAGGCTCTGCTTGTAAAGGCCCCAGATGAAGTCTCCACACAGGTCACACCACGTGGGCTGAGCGTGGCTGCAGGGCTGGAAGTTGTGCCCTTCGCCCTTCTCCTCCGGGAGCTGGGGGTCCTGGGTGCTGCTCAGGACCCGGATGATGCCCACCCGGCTCAGGAGGTCCGGAACCCTTCCGGGGCTGATCCTCAAGGCGTTCGTCCGCTCCAGGCGCGGAGGCGAGCACGGCGAACGGGCGTCCGCTAGCTCTGCCGGCTCCCTGCTCGACCTCAGGTCACGCAGCTCGATGAACTCGCCCCAAGACATTGTGCTTCTCTAAGTCAGGCTTTCTCCATCGTCACTGACAAACAGAAAGACAAAAAAATWAAATTAATTAAAAAATTAAATAAAGCTCATTATTTTCAGATCAAGCTCTTTTTGTGAAGTTTCTACAGGAGCATCAAGCGTTCACAGAAAGTCTTTCTAATTTAATCCTGCATAATTTATCTTCTGCACTGACCTTTAAATAAAAAAAAAAAACAATAAATGACGCTCAGTAGAAGACGTCTAGCATCTGAGTTTACATCTCTTATTTTGTCATCTGTGGTTTTGTAATGTGTCAGTGTGAAACACAACCAAAGTGTGAACCCACATTTTAGAAACACCTATTTGGTACCTAGCTCCTYCSTSGAGCTCAGTCTGCAGCCGAGCTTATGCCCCACAGAGCACCCCTCCCCCGAAGCATTGTTTGAAAATGTGCTGAAGTGGGAATGTCTGAAACGGTAGGGGGTTCTTAAAGAGACAGAGGTCGATTTCAAGGTGTTTAGATATACTATGATGCAAAATCTATTTTATTTTTGATATGCACAACATTTTCATAACAAGTGAAGGTAACAAATTTACTTGTTTGTGGTMTAGAATTGAACTATGTGCCTGGAAAATGCATAATACTGCCCCTTTTAAAGAAAAACCTTTTGACATTTGATAAAGCTGTCAGTATGTATGCTTGAAATTTAAATTGTACATTGAAATGCAAGTAAATGTGCAACTTGAACAAACAGTGATTGGAAAAAGATAGTCCCCCTTCTTTTATTTATTCGGTTTTATGTGTTATTATGAAACTAACTGGTCTCTACTGGTTTTCAAAATGATATAAACTTCACAAATAGTAAAATAAACAGAACATTTCACAATGTCATTACGTATTAAACAAAAAGAAAACTAAAGTTGAAAAGCTGAGTGTGAAAACCAAAGTACTCAACAGCTTTTAGAAGCAATTTTTAAGCAGCAATAAGTTCAGTTTGACTTTATCAGTCGTTTACGTCATTGTGGAAGTATTTTGGCAGACTCTTCTTGAGGGTTTTGTAGACTTTTTTTGTTTAATAACAGCTCTTTTAAGAACCTAGATGTGTTTCTGGATTTTGACTTTATGTGTTTGTTTTCCATCCTTCTGTTAGATTAGTTGTGTTTGGGATCCTTGTTGCATCTCGACCCAGTTTAGTCCAAGTTTATCTGTCCTCACATCTGACTCAAGAATACTTTAGTATAGAGGATTTCACAGTTAACTGCCCAGGTCCTGTAGCTGAAAATCATCCCCAGCTCCATCACTGTGTTCGACGGTTAGTACGAGATGTTTGTGCTGATACGTTGTGCTGCCGTGTTCATTTTAAAAAGAGGAGACGTTCTTCTGCAACTCTTCTAAACAAGCCATACTTGTTCAGTCTGTTTGGCTTCCCTTTTACTTTAATCCGTCATGAAAAACTTACTGATAGATCTTCTTAGATGTCCTTGTTAGAAGGCATCAGAAATGTCATGTTTATTATATATCTGTTCACAGTTTGATGTTAGGTCATGCTGCCCTCTTCCACTAACGATGGACTGGTGTTCTTATCTATGTAGGCCTATTTTATGATACGCTTTGTTCAATTAGACTCTCTGACAATCTTCAGTTTGGATTCTGTTGCTAAAACCTGTCTCATTGTTTGGATTTTTTGCTTGCATTTTTCACATTGAATAAAAAAACAACAAAAAATACAAGCTGTAATATCTCCTTTGTCTTATGACATGACATACTCAGTTTGTTTTATTTAAAATAATTCAACCACAAACTAAGCTGTATCCTGTAATTAGTGCCACATGTTTCTTCAGGCTTGTAATCTATTGACCTTTTTACAGGTAATGATGTCAGTATTTTGTGATGTATTGTGGTCCAGGTTTATTTATACCTTCTTCTGGTTCATTAAAATAGACATATCTAATCAGACAGCTGGAAACATTGCACGTTGAGGTTTTTTTTTTTTTTACTATCACAACGTGTAAAAAAATGTAAATTGTATTTTCTTCAAACTACATGAAAATCAGTTTGAATTTCCATTCAGAACTCCTGAAGGAGGAGGAGCGATGTGTGACGTCACTGTGGTCAAACAACACAGCTCCTCATTTGGGATTACCCGGAGGTGGCTCTTGTGAAGTTTTACCTATTCTTTTGAACTTGAAATGGGATATTTGAGACATTGCATGGCTTTTGGRTGCACAAATGGTGCAGGGATAGCTTTTTTATTTTCTGAAAGATTCAGAAATAGCAGAAAATTTGGGTGAACGTGGTGCAGAGAGACTGCACAACTATTTCAATTTTATGCATTTCTCAATTAAGATGCTAGAAGTATAACTCCAAATCAGTTTTAGTTTCATTTTGAAACGACTATAATGCATTTGTTTATTAATTTAAAATCATTCATCTATTTTTGGTCTACAGCTAAATCTATATATCTATATCTATATC